GTTTATTTTATTGAACTTTACTCACCAAAATTGTTTTATTCTGTATTGTCTTATTTGATCTCACTGCAGTGAACTCATTTTTATGCAAAAATAAAACCCAAGTTCATTTTTCTTGAAGCCTGACCTGACAGCAGACACAACATCACCTTCATCTTGTCCAATAACATAAAACACACAACCTGGACCTGCTGTGAGATCACAGATCCAACAACGCAGAAACAAAACGGAGGTTTTAGCCACAGGGGCCTAGAGACGGGTCAGCGAACATATGGCAACAAGTGGTTGCTAAGGAAAAATTAGTATTTTTTGAATGGTTGACGAGGATTTGCTGGACATTTGTCGTCGGCAGAGTGAAACTGGATGCAAAGAAGCACACGGTGCTGCCCCAAAAACCCCTTAAGGCCTCTTGTCAACCATTTAAAGAATTACAAACTTCTCTGTAGCGACCAGATGTTGGGTGTCACTGCCCAGGCCTAATACAGATTATACATGCACATGTATAAAGTATCTACTGAGTACTAATCGTGCTACAGTGACCATAGAGTATGTAATCTTGAAGAAACTCTGCCTATGAACTACCAAGGTTACCAAGATTCTTCACATATATACTCGGATTGATTAAAACATTTACTTCAAATAAAGAGTACTTTTACCTTTTATGTGTATAGAAAGTGCATGTATGTAGTTTTCACGCTTATATGCATGTTACACACACATTTTAACCGTCCCCAGAGTGATTAAGCTTCAACAATTGACAGCCTTTTACTTCCTATCAGGTGTGCCTCTACCATCCCTCACCATTAACTGAGAGTCAAAGACCACAAAGACGACAAAGAGACGGGAATCTTTCCAGACGTTTTGATTCAGCAGCGAAAGAACAACGATCGACACAAAAGTCTGCAAACAGCTGCAGGGCAGGTTTTTGCGATTTATTTGAATAAAAACGTGATGCTAATAGGTGTAATAACCTCGATTTCTCTTCTGCTTTGCATTTAAGCATCTAATAAAGCGCCAACGTGACAAGAAGACACCTCATTAAAGACCCTTTTAAAGACGTGAGACAGCAGCGAGATTTAAGCTTCATCACACTGCATGTTTTCGTTTTAAACAGAGTGATAAGGTCACCGGGCCCACGGTGACTCAGCACAGCCTTTTAATAAAAGCATTCTGTTTACTGACTCCTCTAAAATTACTTTCTGGTGGTGACGTGTTTACAGTCGTGGACAGAAGATAATATTTCTGAGGTTTCAGCACAGCCTCTGCGATATGAAACACAATGGGAGGATGGCTGCTGGATTTTTCTATGAAGTGTCATGCACATATTCTAAAAGTCATTAGTAATAATAATAATAATAATAATAATAATAACATATTTTATTAATAGGTGCCTTTAAAGACTGTCAAGGCCACCTTACATTAGTACAACAAAATAAAATGTATGATCAGATAAATATGGAGGCGCGAGGTTATAAAGTGGGATCTTCAAATTTACACGGAGGTGAATGGGAACCCAACGGAGCTGTTTCAGAACAGCTGTTATATGTTCAGTGGATCTAATTCTGGATATAATATGAGCAGCTATATTTTGAACTAACTGCAGTTTGTGGAGAGATTTCTGAGATAGACCACAGAGAAGAGAATTACAGTAATCTAAACGAAATATGACAAGTGCATTGACAAGTATGACGGTGCTGTTTGAAGTGAGTGAAGGATGAAGGCGGTTAATATGAAGATTAAAAGAAGAAGAAGACTGAGTGATATTATTAATATGTGCTGTGAAGGAAAGAGTTCTGTCAAGGATAAAACCAAGACTCTTAACCTGAGGAGAAGGATGTGAAAACAGAGTTATCAATGGATAATGAAAGACTTCTGGTTGGAACTTTAGTCGGTTTTGCTTTTGCTTTTTGAACAGGAATGTGCAGCAGTGTGAACCTGGGATGGGAAAAACATGAGACAACAAACCTGGTTGCTCCTCCGCGGCCTCTAGAACTTCTGGCAGTTTGTCTGAAGGGACCTCGGGAAGCTCGACATCTCCCTGAGAGAAAGTTCAAAATCCGACAGGTCAGAACTCAAAATGAAGAGCAGGGTGCTGCTTGCTAAAAGTGCGATCTAATCTTTTTTCTTTCTTTCTTTTAAAGCTGATTAAACTAACCTGAGTTATTGCCTCCAGTTCAGCCAGCACAGCATCTTCATCCTCCTGAGATAAGGAGCCGGCCAGCATGTCGTCAATTTGCTGCAGAGAGACGACAAGTTTTTAAAAAGTCAAATGACTGTGGATACAAACCAATTTTACATCTGTGAAATTTAATCTACAGAGATTTGAGAAATCCTTTCAAATTTTCACTCTCTCCATATCTATGAAGTAAAAGAGGCTAAAATAATAAATGAGCCTGATTACCAGCTGAAAGGACCTACCCTTTGGTACTCAATGGCATCTTGAGTTTCATCCATAATCCGTTCTACTTCTTCAATAGACATCACCTGCAGCGAAAAAGAGTTGATAACAGCTCATGAATAACAGGTGATGAATGTTAAAAGCATCTGCAGGCCACATGTCGTCACCTACCTCATGCATTTTCTTCAGGCATTCATTTCCAACTTTCAATCCATCGATGACTTTCCTTTCGATCTGGGCGAATTCCAGGTCTTGAACCTGAAACGAGGAGCACAGGGAGGAGCTGTGAGCGCCACCTAAACGCTGCTGAGTGTCAGTGCAGTTCGCCGATCGCTCACCATGCGCTCCAGGTTGCTTATCTGGTTCTCTGTCTTGTCCAAGAGTTGATCTTGATAGCGTTTCTTCTTCAGTAAGAGAAGAGCTTTTCTGTTCAAATAAACACGTTAAAGCTTGTAGTAAGGAGGGAGAAATGTAAGAGATGTAAGAGATGATTGACAATCACAAAAAAAAGAAAAGAGCGCTGCACAAAATGTCTCATCTTCCCAAATTCTTTTTGCAACAGTAAAAAAAACCTCTCTTCTTTCCCATCTCCCATCCCATTTGCTTTCTTGCCACACTGGCTTTGGATTTACGTTTAGTTTCTGATTCTCTGTCCAAGCACCCTGAGCACATGTACCAACACTGTGCTCACAGTCAGCTGCAGTAGATAACCCAGAGAAAACAAAAGGAAGGTTGATAAAGAAGTTTGGAGAGAAGGTGATTCTCATCTAGTTCAGCCCTCTGTGAAAGGAAATATTTTGGATTCTTCACAGCTGCTCAGAAAAGCAAAACAACTGAAGACGTCAGCTTGATTTGTGTTTTTCGCTATTTATTATTTTTTTAAGGATTCTGCCTGAAATAAGGCAGCCCTAGCTACCCAAACAATGCATTTTAGAGTTTCTGACATAGCCTTCTCCAGCTTTAGAGACATCAATTAGAACAACATTTCAGAATTGCAGATTTCAAAACTTTATTTTTCTTAATTTTAATTTTATATTAATGAACTCTGGGAAGTCAGCTGCAAGAACAGTTGCAGGGAAGCTGTCCTTTCTGTCCTGAGTATTAAGCTCCCTATTGAGCAGTATTTATATATTTCGTGCTGAGAACATTTAAGCCTCCTTTCAATCATTACTATGGTTTCATTGATTATACTGTACTCACTCTTTTTTGCCATCCTTCAGCAGCTGTTTGGCCAGAAGCCTCTCCTTCTCCAGCTGCACATTGATCTTCTTTTGATACTGCCTGAGCTTATCTCTTTGCTGTTTGAGTTGCTGAAATGAGGAAATAGAGACGTGAACAAACCAAACACCTGCACTGCACTCAGATACGCTTCAAACTAATTCACCCATACCAACTTCTTGTTGATCCAGGTTTAGAAATAGTAGCAGTCTGCACAAACGACAGCAGCTACAATCTGATTATTACTGGCTGCGCTTACGTTAAGGTCCTCCGGTAATACCGGCATAGAAAAATAAATACACTACAGTGTTAGAATTTGAATGACTTACAGTGTTTGGTTAAAGGACACTTTAAAGAGCGAGTCGAGGAGGATTAAGCGGTTAAGTACATTAAGACAGAAGAGTAGACCCTGAATAATGATAACATTTAGAGGTTTTGCTTTATAAAATATTACTGGGGGCTACTCGATAACCGAAGTTGTTAAATTAGCACACAAGAGCTCGCTCTGTTTTACAGCACAGAATTCCAGGCTAACACTTCAGCTAGCTGTGTGACACTTACCAAAATCGCTTTGTCTTGTTCCGTCACTCGGGTTTGTTTCTTTTTTCCAAAGAGATTTCCCATCCTGGCACAGCATGCCAGCTAAAAGTCTCAACCAAAAAGCAAAAAAAGGAGGGCAAACTACTTAAATGTAAAACTAAATTCAAGAAACAGACTTGTGAAGATTCTCCTCCATTATTTGTGTAGTCATCTGTGTCCACACCCACACCAGGAAGGACGGTGTCCCGGCAGGGACACATACTCCTGCTATGACATTTGGTTAAAGCTCCCATTTAGAGCAAACTTATGACAGACCTGCCGTTATTTAACATGAAAATACTTTAAAATCACGGCTGTTTCGAGGGTAGAGCCGAATAATCTTAAACACGGTTTAAAATAAAGAGATCCACCAGTTTCCACTGCCCTCCAGTGGTCAGACAGAGAAACTACAGTGTGAACGTACAAAACTTCCGGTGTGGACTTTCAAAGTAAGTTGACAAAACAAACAGTCAGAGTAACCTGTGATAAAGGATTGGAAATTTGCATGTTAATTAATTTAACTTCCACAGATTCAGTATTTGGAGTGTGTTAGATTTGTGTGTTTTGGTTTTTACAAAAGTTTGAATTTAATTTAATCTTCATAATTTAAAAAAATTCCTAATGAAAATGAAAAAAGCAAATTAATTCTAGATGATTTTACCGTTCTCAAACAAATCTTTCTAGCACAGTTCTCTGCACCCAATGTTACACTCAAATTAATTATTAATAATTCAAACTCACATTTTTATAATTATGTTTTCACTCTAACATCTTCCTGATTTATTCTAAGTCCAAACATTCAGTCGCAAGCTATTTAAAAGTGGTCATGTCAGTGGGAGGTTTCTCTGTGAATTTCACATTCCCGTGGCAGCGTGCTCGGTGCTTGCTCGGATTTGAAGTTTAATTTTTGCTGTAAAAAGAAGTTTTCTTCCCATGCAGAGTGTACAGCGGACACTAATGCTTTTGTCACTTTTTTTGGATTAAAACTTAAAGTAATGTCAGTGCGTCCACACTTTAAACGCTGCATGGTTATACTCTCTCCATCACTCCATATTATCCATTGTTAAACTACACACATTTGTTGCTGCCACGGACGTCGCTTACGTCATTGTCATGAGACACTCTTACAAATAAAATCATGACAGTAATGCAGCGTGCTTACAGGAAAGTAACAGCAATATAATTACTTTTTTTGCAATAGTAATCCCTTATATTACGCGTTACTTGAGAAAACTAATTGGATTGCAGTAAAGCATTACTTGTAACATTTTACTGCCCATGTCTGGTTACAGGTAACATAATCTGTTCTCCTTGAACTACGTACTGTTTTTCTCTTAAACTTTCCTGATTTCTGAAAGAAGAGACAAGATAATGACAAGTAAAGAGAAAGGTGTAATATTTCTCTTTACTAATAAAGTTCTTCACGACTGAGCTAAGTGTCCCCTTTTTTGGAAATCAAAATATGGTCACCCTACCAAGACACCCAGCGTGAAAAGTGTCCTTTTTCACGCTGTCTCATGAAAGAGACAATAGACGACGAAGAAGGACATCCTGAAGCTTGTGGATCAAGATTATGCAAACATGGTCCATGTTTCTGCTACAGATCCCGACAGCTGCACCCCACATTCAAACTGTACATATCCTGTTATGTGAAGCACTTAGGTAAACCTCAAAACATCAGTTCTTCTTTGAACACAAGCCCAGAAACAACTTCTGTAGATTCAGCAACTGTGGCACTCTTCAACAGAAGGGAGTGACTAATGTTCCTGTAGTCTTCCATGGAGCCAGCTGTCTTTAACCCACCTCCTCCTCCTCTCACACGAGACTCAATAGAGAAGATTATGGAAGGCATCTTAGAGAACCAGCAGCAGCAGCAGCCTGAGGAAAAAAGGCAGACAAAGAGTAACCTTGCCTGTAGTTAGCCCGAGTCCCAATATGAGACAGTTGGAGCCTCCATCCACTATAGTATTTCTATTGTTCAAAGCAGGTGCATCAAAGTTAAACTGCTAAGGGAATGATAACCCTAAAATAACCTTTTGTTCAGACAGAGGGAACTGGATGCTACCAAGAAGAGGGTGGAGGAAAGGGTGGAGAAAAAGAGGAAAAGACCAGAATCCCAACAAACAGGCTGCCTCTGCAGATTCTGCCACATGGACCTGAAACAGGGACCAAATAGCCCACACATTCATATGGGCTTCCCTGAAGTGGCAGGGAAATACATCTACTGCCCTTCAAAAGTGTACTCTCTATACAGAGATAACGGCATGGCCAAGGAGATGGCCTGGAAGAATTTGAGGAGTCTCCCTTCCATGAAGCAGAGAGACATAAATGGGTGGAAGAAAAAAGGAAATGAGGAAGAAACGGTTGATACTGTACATGAGAAAATTTTGTCCTAGTTGTGTTTTTTTTGTTTATATAAATAAAAACAGATTGCAAATATAAAACCAAATATTTAATCAATCTCTGTTTCCCTCTCTAGAGAAATCATAACATTTGGTTTTATTTTACAAGATAAGAATGATGTGTTGTAACATTATTTTGTGTATCAGCAAATTTTTTATACACACAAAAAAGACAATCCCCTAAGTATGTTATCTTCTTTTACAAACTTAAACTCTTAATGCTGGTTAATACTTTAACTTGTATTTTGAACGTACCCACCGGAAGTGTCAGTGCGTCTCCTTATGTTGTGATGCACTTCTTGAGATCGGCCGTTAGAGGCCAGTAAACCATCGTGATAAAACGCACATGTAAACCCTGGTCCGTTTTATTTTTTAATAGTCTGAATTAGTTCGTGTGCTCTTGTGTTTTAAAGGTTTCATGGTTTTCGAGGTGAGTGGATGACAACGTGGGTAAACTGCGTGAATGCAGCGCGAATAAAAGCCGGTGGAGATGCTGTGTGGAATGAAGAGGGAAGCTGTCCGTGCAGATGCCTGTTCAAAACACAGGAGACGTCAATGATTCGTTTCCAAAATAATTCAGAAGAGCACGATCCCCCTTTGAGTACTTGAACACGTTAATGGATCAAAGTGAGACAGACAAATGTAACCAGCGCGTGTTTCACTGTGATCGGCGGTGATCGATTCTGCACAGGCCTGGTTCGTGTCACACAAGCCTGCAGTTTATTTTAAAGAGGAGCCGACACCATGAATGAAGTGGATTATCTTGATCATAACAGAGCTGAGAGTCTGCAGTTTGAAGAAAAGCCGGACATTAAACCTCCAGATGTTGAACAGCTGCAGGACGCTGATATAAACCAAACCGCTGGTAAGAATAAACACAGCTGGAATGCGAAGAAATCTGCTAACAGCTGTGGGGCCTGTGGGGCTGGGTGGAGATCATGATCGCACATCTTTCACGATCTGCTAATCTCAATTTGTAAAAATAACAAAAGTATTTGCTAATAATCACTTTTTGTGTTCTCGGAGTTAAAAAGGCGGAACTCATCTGGGCATCGTGTAGCACCCGGCCGCTTTACACCGCGCACATATGCAAGAAATCTTGTAGTTTTTAAAGTAATTCCTTTTTAAAAACTACCTTTGAGCAAAGAAAAAAAAATCTATTTAACTTTCAAATGATATAAGGGGCAAACAAGAGATAAATGAAAAAAATAAATACATATATACAAATAAACTTATCTGTTTTAAGGCTTATTGGGTTTTTATGCATTTCACTCCTTCCTTAAAATGTCTGACATTAATCTAAATGGTTTGTTTGGCTACATTAATTAGCAGATATACGCTCATTGGCCACTTTGTTAGGTACAGCTGTTTAATCACTAATTTATACAAATTTTTAATCAGTCAGTCACATGGCAGCATCTCAGTGGTCAAGGCGACTTGCTGTTGAAACCGAGCATCAGAATGAAGGCGAAAGTTGATTTTGGTGACTTTAAACGTGGCATGGTCGTTTGTAACCATCGCTCTGACTGAAACATTTACAGACCTCCAGTTTTTTGGTTTCCTAAAAGCTCAAAGAAAAAGTACAACCAAATAAAAAAAATGTTCTAAGCATTCAACTCTTTTTTTTTTAATTTTTTTTATAGGAATTTCATTATAAAAATAAATATTAGTTCTTCTTCTTCAGCTTTTGAATGTCCTTACATAATTTTTCACGATTTTTGCTTTTAGATAGAAAAATATGGACGGTGTTCTCCCTAAAGCTAAGTTTAGTTCATGAAACAAAGATATTTGTGGTATGAAAACATCACAGAGCAACATGCCTTCCCTTTGTTTATCATTACATATGGGATTATGGGATAACCACTTTGTGTCTGTACACTTTAACATTCCAAGATTTCATCCTGGATCATGTAATGCAGAGCACCTCTCGCCACTTAATAACAGTAATGATCAGATTTCCCTTTAAACAATAAATGTCTTTCTGCATGCTCATAAATCTGTTTGCAGTGTATCAGGATCTGCTGGGGAAATTAGGTGAGCTTCAGCTGTTACAACATTTTCCAGTTCCAATAGAATATCAGTGTTTACGTTATGCTTCGGATTTATCTCCTGATGGGCTGATACATTCTTGGAGAAAAGTCTTGTGATGGGTACATCAAAATTATAGGAGCTAATATATTACTTTTAATTTTGTGTAAAATTTGTAGTCAGGAGTATTTCATGTTTTTGTTGAGGGTCACCAGTTTATTTAAAGGCTACTAAAAAAAGTATTAATTTAATTGAGATTTGCTTCTATATGATAATCACAAACATGTCAGCCTATTGCTGAACAAACACTCTGCTGCATATTAAAACCATCAAACAGTCAAAACATTTTATGTTTTTACTTAAATACCCATTCAATCCCACTGGCAACAATTATTGCCGTTTTAACTGCCTATGACATTTAAAAAATTAAACACATTGTGTGTAGGGGAAGTCTAAGGAGTAAAATGCATTCACTCATTTTGCAGGGAAACAGTTGGGATTAAATGGGTTAAGTAAATACTTTATATACTGAAAATCAGTGTATTATTTTATCACAGTATAAACATGAAACTGAATGTCTTATACGGCTTCCTTTAGCTTACAGAACTGCAGAACTATTGCTATTCAGTTTGACACAAAGTCATCAGGTATGAAATCAAAGGCTGGCCTGCAGGCATCCCAAAGCTGCTCCAGCTTCTTGGGTTTCCTCTTCCATATTTCCATCTTTGTCCTCAGATGTACTCAATAATATTCATATCAGGAGACTGCTGGCTAAGCCCAAAGAACTTTGAGCTTTTTCACTCTGAGAAACTTCAAAACGGAACCCAAAGTGTAGCAAGGAGCTCCGTCTTGCTGAGGAATCTGACCAAATCATTTTGACCCACGTTCCCCCTGACATCTCCATACTGGATGGCACTCTGAACCACAATCTTTTCATTGTGAAAGCATTGTTGTAACTGAATCATGATGGCATGCGCTTATATTAGATCTTATGCAAAGAAAGAAAGAAAGGTTTTGGTGTCACAGGTGTGAAAGACCTCCTATATTCAATGAAAATAGGCAGTCTATTAAGCCATCATTATTTTGTCCCTAGCCATTTGAGTTTTTTTGTTTTTGCTTCCTTTACTGCTTCATAAGTAATTATATCTAAGCTTTATTTTTACCACGTCCCCAAGATAAAGATCTGTGGTTTACCAAAATTTCAATTCAAAAAATGTTATTTATACAGCATCAAATCGCAACAACAGTCGCCTCAAGGTGCTTTATATTGTACAATATAAAGCAATAATACATACAGAGAAAAACCCAACAACCATATGAATCCCTATGAACAAGGAATTTGGCGACAGTGGGAAGGAAAAACTCCCTTTAACCGCTGCAACCGGTTGGGGTGAGAGGAGGAAAACAGGACAAAGACATGCTGTGGAAGAGAGCCAGAGATTAATAACAAGTATGATTCAGTGCAGAGAGTCTATTAACACATAATGAGTTAGAAAGGTGACTCAAGAAGAAACACCCAGTGCATCATGGAAATCCCCCAGCAGGCTACACCTACTGCAGCATAACTAAGGGAGGATTCAGGGATAAGATAAGTTTGAAGCCTAATCTTAAAAGTAAAGATTAAGTCCGTCTCATGAATCCAAACTGGAAGCTGGTTCTACAGAAGAGGGGAAATGAAATTGATAAATTTGTGGTCCAAAGCTTCCATCCACTCATCATGGGCATGAAGTGTCATAGTGATTTTGGTCATTTAACAATTTGTTTGAATATTTATTTTTCCAGGTTAGAATTACCGTACAGCATACATCTTTAATGATTAGAAAACAACAACAATTATGTGCACAACTTTGAATTTATTTTGGATTTTCTAAGCCACACAGGGTCATAAGTGTACATACAAGTTGAAATATGTACATTAATATTTGGTTAAATGTCCCTTAGCTAATTGCACCTTGACCAGACTTGTTATCCATCAACAAGCTTCTCACATAATTCAGGCTGGATTTTGACCACTCTTCTCAGCAGAATTGTTAGAGTTTATTTAAAACTGTTTGGTTTCCTGGCACAGATCCGACTGTAAGCATAGTTCACAAAGTTTCAAGTGGATGGATCTCTGGGCTTTGCCCATTCCAGAACCTTAATGTCAGCCTGGTTTATTCATCCCGATGCCAGTTTTGATGTGTTTCGGCCCATTATCCTGTTAGAACATTAACTGTGTCCTAATTTCAACCATCTAGCTGTTGATTTGAGGTGAAGTTGAAGAATTTGGAGGTAATCTTCCTTCATTATTCCATTCTGTTGGAACCTCCAGGATGTTTTACTGTCATCAGGCAGTAAAACAGCCTGATGACAATGAAACTGTCACGCATGAGTCACCATGCATGACAGTTGGTACAGTGTTTCTGCAATGCCGTCTATAAATTAAATTAATTTAAATAAATGAAATAAAATTAAACTGTGAACTCCGTTGTTGTTGGGTTTTTTTTTTTTTTTACTTTTAAAAGAACAGCTCAAAGAAATTAAAAATTAAAAGCCCAAAATTACCATGACATTCACACCCATGAGAAGTGGATTTAAACTTCTTACCATTACTGTAATTGTTAGGGTGACTGGTGATGGATAGTGTTTCATTTTTGGTCTCAAAATAATCCCCACTGTAACTTGAATTTCAGATTACATTAACAGCTACTGAAATCAAGGTTAACATATAGAAGCCTACAATCAGTGATGTACATGTATGTTTCAGTATTCCCCGCAGATGTCCAGCAGATGTTGGTGATTAAAGAAGAGCTACCCTGGACCCCCAGTCTGGACCAGCAGAATCTAGACCACCTCCACATAAAGGAGGAGCATGAGGAGCTGTGGATCGATACAGGGGGAGCACATCTTGCTGTTAGCACTAAGTGCACATTGTCTTCTATTTCCATGAAGTATGAAGATGAAAGAGAAGAAAAACCTCAGATTGTACAGCTTCATCAAAGTCAGACTGAAGACGATGCAGAAGCAGAAGCTCCAAACAGCAGCTCAGCTACAAAGATCAACAATGAAATTGATGAAAAGGATTGTAGAGGACCAGAAATCGCCGGGAACTCTAATCCAAATTTCCATTTCCAACTAAATACTGTTGAGAAGGCCCCAGACTCTTCTGAAACAGACATTAGTGATGGAGATGATTGGCAGGAGCCTTTGTCTGATGCTGGACCTGCAAACGAAGATGGTGACAGTGGTTGCCCTATACCTAAATCAAACTTGAAAACTCTGAAATCACTGAAAAGCAAGTGTTCTTTTCAGAGAAGGAAGACATGTCATTCATTCAAAAGGCCTTATGGCTGTTTGGCTAATGAGAAATTTAACAGAGTGAAACAAAGGGAATTTTCAAAGATGATAGTCAACACAGGAGAAAAAACATTTACCTGTGGTGTTTGTGCAAAAAGATTTAAACAGAAACAAAATCTGAAGACGCATATGAGAGTCCACACAGGTGATAAACCATATAACTGTGATTTTTGTGGAAAAGACTTTAGACATCACTATAGTTTTAAAGTACATATCAGAATCCATACTGGGGAAAAACCGTTTGTTTGTGGCATTTGTGGTGAAAAATTTAGAAAAAAGCAAAATCTCAAACGCCACATGAGGGTTCACACAGGAGAGAAACCATTCAGTTGTGTTGTCTGCGCAAAAAGATTTACACAGCAGGGCGTTCTGAAGAGACATATGAGAGTTCACACGAGAGAGAAACCATTTGGCTGCAGTCTGTGTAATAAAATGTTTACACAGCAGGGGGTTCTGAAGAGGCACATGAGGGTGCACACAGGAGAGAAACCATTCAGCTGTGGTGCATGTGGGAAAAAGTTTGTGCATCAACACGACCTCAAAATACACATCAGAGTCCACACTGGAGAGAAACAGTTCAGCTGTCCTGCGTGTGAAAAGCGATTTACTCAGCAGGGAAGCCTCAAGAGACACATGAGGGTGCACACTGGAGAGAAACCATTTGGTTGTAATGTGTGTGGGAAAACTTTTACTCAACAGGGAAGTCTAAATAGGCACACGAGAAGCCACACACAGTAAAAATTGTACTGGGTCTTAGTACTATTTGAAACAGTTTTAACCAACCAATCTGTGTTTGTTAAACCTGAGATGAGATAAACCTGAGGATTTCTGATTCACAAAGAAAGTTAACTTAAACTGAGTGAGACTCTGTATACTAAACCTACTCACTGACAAGTTTTCTTTAACAAAGTGACTCATTTCCTTATTCCAAAAGTTGCTATCAAACCACTTGGTGGAGCAAATGAATTTGGACAAGTTTACATTTCATAAACACTAAAATGCTGATTAGGTGTCAATTCACTATTTTTTATTTACCATGATGGCTTTTTAATTTTTCAGGGGTCAATTTGTATGAGTGAAGAAAGTGAATATCTCACTTATTTATTATCAGCTAAGAATTATAGTGGCTTGCAAAAGTATTTGCCCCCCTTGAACTTCCCCACATTTTGTCACATTACAGCCACAAACATGAATCAATTCCATGTGAAAGACCAACACAAAGTGGTGTACATGTGAGAAGTGGAACGAAAATCATACATGATTCCAAACATTTTTTACAAATAAATAACTGAAAAGTGGGTTGTGCGTAATTATTCACCCCCATAGTCAATACTTTGTAGAACCAGCTTTTGCTGCAATTATAGCTCTTCTTTGCAAAACAGCTCCAGCTCAGTCAGATTAGATGGACAGCGTTTGTGAACAGCAGTTTTCAGATCTTGCCACAGATTCTCGATTGGAAATAGATCTGGACTTCGACTGGGCCATTCTAACTCATGGATATGTTTTGTTTTAAACCATCCCATTGTTGCCCTGGCTTTATGTTTAGGGTCGATGTCCTGCTGGAGGTGAACCACCGCCCCAGGATTCCAAGATCGCCCTGTATTTGGCTCCATCCATCTTCCCATCAACTCTGACCAGCTTCCCTGTCCCTGCTGAAGAGAAGCACCCGCAGAGAATGCTGCTGCCACCACCATATTTGACAGTGGGGAGCTATAATTGCAGCGAAAGGTGGTTCTACAAAGTATTGACTATGGGGGTGAATAATTACGCACACCCCACTTTGCAGTTATTTATTTGTAAAAAATGTTTGGAATCATGTATGATTTTCATTCCACTTCTCAAGTGTACACCACTTTGTGTTGGTCTTTCACGTGGAATTCCAATAAAATTGATTCATGTTTGTGGCTGTAATGTGACAAAATGTGGGAAAGTTCAAGGGGGCTGAATACTTTTGCAAGCCACTGTAAATCCATCTTTCTAACTGTGAGAGTCTTTGAATATTAATGCAGGTGTCAGACTGTCAGCCAGTTAGTTAAATTAGACCGGAAACAGTGTACATTACTATAGAATCACTGCTAACATCAAAATCACCTGTATAAAGATTCAAAGTGTTGTCATGTGTACAGAAGAAATAGCATTTCTCTGTGCAATGAAATTCTTCCTTTGCTGTCCACACACCAATGCCAAGTTAGGTAGGGTTGAAGGAACAAGATAAATAAGGATACAAATAAGACAAGATATTAAGATAGATAACATAAAAAAAATAAGGATAAAAAATAGTGAAAGATAAATAAGTACAAAAAAAATAAGTGAAGACAAGTAAGGTATGCAGATGTCAATGTAAATGGATGTACAAAGGAGCTTAATGTGCAAAATGAACTTAGCGTGCAAAGTGTCCTGATGTGCAAATTGCAGTTGAGGTAGGTCAGCTGTTCAGGAATCTGATAGGAGAAGGAGTTGTTGAATCGGGATGTTCTGGATTTCACATTTCTAAACCTTGGTATCGAGAGCAGAAGTGTGAACAGTCCGTGTTGAGGCTGTGTGGGGTCTTTGAGGATGGAGACAGCTCTCCTCTGGACTCTGTGATGGTAGATGCTCTGCAGAGAGGGCGATCTTCTCTGCAGTTGTTATCACTCTCTGCAGGCGTTTGCGGTCCATAGCAGTACTGCTGCTGTACCATGCAGTGATGCAGCTGGATAGTGTGCTCTCCACAGTGCAGCTGTAGAAGCTGCTGAGGATCTTGGCCAACAAACTAAATTTCCTCAGCCTCCTCAGGAAATACAGCTGCTGCTGAACCTTCTTGACCAGCTGTGTGGTGTTCAGTGTCCAGGTGAGGTCCTCACTGATGTTTACTGTGTTGTAATCAATCATACTGTTGGAAAGATGTCTGTCACAGCTAGATCTTGGAGAAAATCTCAGTGAACATAAGATTGAAATGACTTAAAACTGTAAAACTGAACAAAATGTGTTGTTAAAGTGACTTTTAAAATCCAGCTGCAAACAGTCTGATTGTAATCTAATTACATTTCATATTGAAGTGTGTCCACAGGTTGGAATTCAGTCATTAATTGACGTAAAATACCAGTTTAAAGTTTCATTATCTGAAATTCAGAGTTGGACCCACCAAGACTGTCGACCCAGAACCAGAACTGGATCAGCAGATCATTTCCCAGTCAGACTATGTTTTTATGGCAGGATGGATCCAAAATGGATCGAGGATTCAGACTGGATCACACCTGGATCTGGTTTGGCTCCGGTCATTGCCTAGCTCATCCCGTCCAGATCTGTTTTTGATTAGTTATCTTGTCAAAAAGTCAATGCCTGGGCCATGCCTTGTCATGTTTAACTTCTTTGATGGATTTCTTGTTTTCTTTTAATTAAACCTGTACATTATAAGTTAATAGTTCTTAGGCTGTAAGATCTCTGTGGTGATAAAAATAAAGATGTATTTTTTCAAGCAACATAGCTACAGTTGTCTTTTTTGTTGTTGTTGTGTACAAAGAATACAGAATCAAAAAATTAAAGTCTAAGGTTCAGGTTTTTGACATTTTTATGGTAATTAAATTATTTCCCTTTTTGTAACGGATTAGGTGACTTGAAGTTGAGAGAAAGAATATAATTTTACTAAACAGCACATGAAACTCTCAAGTTACTTTATTTTTGTATGTGGATTTAGTCTTTTTGTTTTCTGCTGACAGTAGTCACTAACAAGTTTACTGGTTATCGAGGCAAGCTGCTGGAAATACGCTCTGGAATTTGGAAGGCTTGATTTAAAAAAAGATGTGTTAATTTATTTTCACATTAGATTCTTGTTCAAGCACTTTATGATACTACAGCAGTTGGCATCAGTGTGCACCATCACCATGTATACAAATTCTTCTGTTGACCACAAGAATATGGAGTCACAGTTGTCCCGTGTCTGTTTTTGTGTTCTCTGCAGATGTCCAACAGCTGTTGGTGATCAAAGAAGAGGTTTCCCATGAATGGAGCAACAGTCTGGACCAGAAGGGCCCAGAGCTTCTCTTTAAAAAGGAGGAACAAGATGAACTCAGGAACAGTGAGGTGGGAGAGCCGCTTAATGATCTAACGAAAGCTGATATCATCAGGTTCCAACTCACTGCTGGTCCTGTGAAGACTGAAAACGATGAAGAGAAGCCTAACTCTTTACTTCTCCTTCAGAATCAAATGGGAGAGGCAGAGCCTCCACTTTGCAGCTTAGCTAAACAGATAAAAACAGAAAGTGATGGAGAGGACCGTGAAGGACCTGGACCTGGATCATGGAACCCAGATCCAAATACTGATGAGAAGGCTTCAGACTCTTCTGCGACTGACGTCTCAGATGATGATGATGATAGTGACGATGGTGGTGGTGATTGGCAAGAACCTTTGTCAGATTCTGGACCTCCAAATGATGACGGTGAAAATAATCAGGGAGCTCCTACATCAAGTGCAAATGGACTCAAATCTCCAAAAAGCAAGAGGCCTGTTCAGAGGCTCATGACAAGCCATTCAATGGGAACTTCCTCCAGGCATTTGGGAAATGTAGATTCACCCAGACAAGACAGACAATTTATCTGTGGTATCTGCGGAAAACGATTTACACAAAAACAAAATCTTAAGACACATATCCGAATTCACACTGGTGAAAAACCATTTCATTGTGATTTTTGTGGAAAGCGTTTTCGACATCTCTATAGTTTCAAGGCGCACATCAGAATCCACACAGGAGAGAAACCATTTGTATGTGACATCTGTGGTGAAAGGTTTACACAACAGCAAAATATCAAGAGGCACATCAGGGTTCACACAGGTGAGAAACCATTCGGTTGTGGGGTTTGCACAAAAAGATTTACACAACAGGTGGACCTGAAGAGACATATGAGAGTTCACACAAGAGAAAAACCATTTGGTTGTGATCTTTGCAGTAAAAGATATAACCGGAAAACACAATTAAGTGCACACATGAGAGTTCACACAGGAGAAAAACAGTTTGCTTGCGACATTTGTGGTAAAAGGTTTAACCGGATGGCGCTTGTTAAAGCACACACAAGGGTTCACACAGGAGAGAAACCATATGGCTGTGATGTTTGTGGCAAAAGATTTAACAGGAAATCACATCTCAAAGCCCACACAAGAGGCCACACGGGAGAGAAACCACATGGTTGCGATGTCTGCGGCAAAAACTTTGTACATCAGCGCGATCTCAAGATCCACATCAGAGTTCACACCGGAGAGAAACAGTTTAGCTGCACTGTATGTGGGAAGAGATTCACCCATCAGGGAACTCTAACGAGACACATGAGAGTCCACACTGGAGAGAAGCCATTTAGCTGTGGTGTTTGTGGTAAAACGTTTACTCAGAAGGGAAATCTAAACAGACATGTGAAAACCCACACGGAGTAACAGCTTTGAATGCTGTATAGTTTTGAATGGTTCTGTGAATGCACTTACCTGCTAATGAATAAGTTGGATGGATCTTTTTTGTTTGTTTGTTTGGTCATTAATTATGTCTGTTCACGCTATTGGGTGCTTTGAAGGATGCCCTGTACTGTATGAAAAAATAGAGACTATGGCTGGTGACATTTATAGTAGGGGTGGTACCATGTGCTCGAAGTGATGCAAGCTATATTGTAATTGGGAAATATATTACTTGAATTCCAGATAGCATTTATTTATACATTTTCTATATCCAAGGTACATAACCATGTTTAGTCATGATATTTTTAATAATAATCTATGCTTGAGCATTTTGTTTTTCTGTATGAACCAGAACTCGGTGGTGTGCACCAAAATAAGTTTGGATCAGCATACCACAGTCAAACAGCAGCTATGTGGTGTTGGATAACACAGAACCAGATGGACACATCTACTCCTGATATTTTTTCTGGTATGGAGTATATCAACTAATGTATTTAGGTTTTAATTTTGCATTTAATTTCAACTCCTTATTGTATTTAGATTTTGTATTTAATCACTTTCTTTTTCAGTTGCTCTAACAGTAACTTGCCAACTTCTTGATTAATAAAATATTTATTCTTTATTTATTCTTCTTGTGTTTTTTACTTAAAGCATGATGTCATCAATTATCATCATTTTTCACAATGCTTATAACCTGTGGCATTGTTGGATATAACTGTTATGAAGGACAGAAACAGGATCTTGGGTTGAAGATGATGTTGAATTGCAATGCAAAAAATGGAAGCTTATGACACACAGTAGATAGTACTGTAAACACGGGAGGTAAGCATCTTGCAGAATATTAACCCATTCATTGCTTGGTTACATGATTAATTATTGCATTTAATTGGTTGGCAACCATCTGGCAATCACAAGGGGAGAAATATGTATTTCCCAAACAAGTTTGTGTGGAAGATGTTAACTTGTCTTCAAACTCTTACCAGTTACTCTCCGAGCAGCTTCAAAAGGTGCAGCACAGACTGGAAACAAAACATTTGTTTTCAGATTAAAAGTTGTGCCTCAACATTGCAGCAATGACATTTTAAAAGCCACAATTTTTACTTTGAAGCCAAACAATCCCAGTATAGG